AAACGCTGTAGCCGGCACGGGTTCCAGCCGGACCGAGGTATGAGGTCGAGGTCGGTTCACGGAGGGTACCCTAGTGTTCTTCGTTGTGGGTGGACGTCCTTGTGCATCCCAAGGCGGGTACCCTCGGATGTACCGTGTGTTCTGGCCAGCGGACGGTCTCAAGTGTTTTTGAGGGATGTTCTTCTGTCGGGTAGCGGTAAGAGTGGTCTTTCGCCGAAGTGACCCCTGGTGCGGGCCCAACGTGGTCCCCCGATCGCCGATCGCGAAGCGTGGGCAGCGGCTTGCGCGCCCAGGTTTGGCCAGTCCCCCGTGAAGCCGCGCACCAAAGAGCATTCTTGCGTGGAGTCACTTTTGCGCCGAGCCGATTCTGGCCTGGACCCGATTGTATCCACGTGTGGTCACGGTGTGACGCACTGGGCCGCGAGAGGGCATCGACGTATGTGTCTGCCAGCGCGGACCCCAAGCAGTAAGCCAGTCGTGCATTCCTCCTCGGAATCAAACGCAAGTATTTCCCGCTACGTGGCTGCGCCCCAGGACCCCACATTGTTGATGTGTGCGCCGAAACTGGCGATTGCAAGTACACCGTGAACATCATCATCAACACCAAGCATGCGCGTCTGGTTTCGAGGCGTGTTGTAGGTTCGGCTGTATCCACGTGTGGTCAAGATGTGACGCAATGTTAGGCGGAGGAGGAGAAGGACGATGAGGACGATGAGGAGGAGGAGGGGGAGAAGGGGGGGAGGAGGAGGAGGAGGAGGAGGAGAAGGAGAAGAAGGAGGACGAGGACGAGGCGGAGGAAAGAGGAGGGGTGAGCGAGGAGGGAGGAGGGAGGAGGGAGGAAGGAGGGGGGAGGAGGGAGGATGAAGATGATGAGGAGGAGGAGGTGGCGGAGGAGGGGGAGGAGGAGGAATGACGATGATGATGATGCTGATGCTGTTGCTGCTGCTGCTGCTGATGATGATGCTGATACTGATGCTGATGCTGATGATGGTGATGATGATGATGATGATGATGATGATGATGATGGCGATGGTGGTGATGATGATGCTGAGACTGACGATGATGATGATGATGATGATGACGATGACGATGACGATGACGATGCTGATGCTGGTGATGATGATGGTGATGATGCTGATGATGATAATGTGGTGATGCTGATGATGATGCTGCTGCTGATGATGATGATGCTGATGCTGATGCTGCTGCTGATGATGATGATGATGATGACGCTGCTAATGATGATAATGATGATAATGATGATGATGAAGATGATGAGATGATGATAGTTGCGATATGATGAAGTTTGGTGGTGATAATGAGAAGATGATGATGAAGATGATGATTGGATGAAGAGGATGACGAAAGATGATGATGATTGTATGCTGATGCAGATGATAGAAGATGATGATGAGCCTGGATGAGGAGAAGATGATGCTGATGGGTGATGCTGCTGAATGATGATGAGATTATGATGATGATGAATTATGCTGATGATGATGCTGATGATGATGATGATGATGTGATGATGGTGATGATGATGATGATGATGAAGAATGAAATGATGATGATGATTGATGATGAAGATGAAGTGGAGAGAGGAGGAGGAGAGGAGGAGAGGAGGAGAGGAGGAGGAGGCAAAGGAGGAGAGGAGGAGGAGGAGAGGAGGAGGAGGAGGAGGAGGACGAGGGGGGGGGAGGGAGGAGGACGAGGAGGATGAGGAGGAGGAGTGAAGAGTAGAGGAGATAAGGATAGAGGTAGGAGCAGGAGCAGGAGCAGTAGCAGGAGGAGGAGAGGAGGAGCAAGAGGAGGAAGAGGAGAGGAGGGAAGGAGGAGGAGGAACGGAGGAATAGAGGAGTTGGAGGAGGAGGATGAGAAGGAGTAGGGGGAGGGGGAGGGAGAGGGAAGGGAGGATGAGGAGGATGGGACGAAGGAGGAGGCGGAGGAGGAGGCGGAGGAGGAGGGGGAGGAGGGGGGGAGGGGAGGGAGGAGAAGGAAGTAAAAAAAATAAAGTAAAAATGGGATGAGGACGGGGGGAGGTAGGGAGAGGGGGGGTAGGGGAGAGGAAAAAAAAAAAAAAAAAAAAAGGGGGGGGGAGGGGGAAGGGTGGAGCGGATGTGGATGGGGGAGGGGGGGGGAGGAAAAGGAGTATTCTATGGAGGGGGGGGTGAGGAGGATGGACGAGGAGGAGGACGGCGGAGGGGAGGGAAGAGGCGGAGGGGGATAGGAGCTGCGTCGTCTTTCCACGGCGTAGTAGTAGGCCTCGTAAGTGGTCCAACGATGGAGACATAGGCTGACATGAGAATGGAGGCGGTGCGAGGCTGAGTAGAACTAGGCTCCGGTGAACTGCGTAGTCATAGGAGGAGGAGGCGGAGGAGGAGGAGGAAGAGGAGGAGGGGGAGGAACTGAGAAATCATAGTAGGAGGAGGAGGAGAAGGAGGAAGAGGAGGAGGAGGAGGAGGAGGAAGAGGAATAGGAAGCAGAAAAGGAGGAATCATAGTAAGACGAAGGTGAAACTGAAGACGAGCACGAAGAAGACGAAAAATATCAAACATACGAATCGTCATACTATTATTACTAGTATCACCAATAAAAACATACGACTCATACTACCACTTATGCGACTAACGCGAAAGATAATTCATAGTAACACGAATCGCAGTTCGAAGGAGATTGCTACTCATAATAATTATACGAATGATAATCATACGAAGAAGACGAAGAAGAAGAGGAGGATCGAGACGAAGAAGACGAAGAAGAAGAGGAGGGTCCGCGAGAGAGAATCGAGACGTGTGTTCGCTAGCGTGGGGCCCCAAGCAGGAAGTGTTCCGTGGGGGCCTCGCCCTCGGCCGCCGGGTCCCTCTTCGGGGGTTGCGCCAGAGGTGCCCCTGCCCCCAGGTGCCCCCAGGATCTCGAAGGAGGCCCCCACGGCCTCCGGAGTTCTCCTCCCCCTGCTCCTCCTCCTCCTCCTCCTCTTCCTCCTCCTCCTCCTCCTCCTCCTCCTCCTCATCATCATCATCATCATCATCATCATCATCATCATCATCCTCGTGGCACCTGTTCCATTGGGATCCTTCCCCAGGAAAACAGGCGGGTAGCCTCCCGATCGACATCCCAGGTGATCCTTCGGGACCCTGGGGGAGAGAAACAAGGTAGTCGTAGGCCGTACCAGCCCGCGCCACGGGGGAAGCGTCGTGCCTGGGACCTCGGGGCTGTTCCCGACTCGCCTGTTCCTCCTCCCGCTGCTCCTCCTCCTCCTCCTCCTCCTCCTCCTCCTCCTCCTAACCGTCCTCCTCTTCCCCCCCCTCTCTTCTCCCCCTCGTCCTCAACCTCCTCCTCCTCCTCCTCCTCCTCTTCATCGTCCTCCTCCTCGTCCTCCTCCTCCTTCTTCTCTCCTCCTCCTCCTCCTCCATCTCCTCCTCTCCTCCTCCTCTCCTCCACCACGTCCTCCTCCCCGTCCTCCTCTCCTCCCCTCTCTCTTCTTCCTCCTCCTCCTCCTCCTCCTCCTCCTCCTCTCCACCTCACCACCTCCTCCTCCTCCTCTTCCTCCTCCTCCTCCTCCTCCTCCTCTCCTCCTCCTACTCCTCTCTTGCTCCTCCTCCTCTTCCTCCTCCTCCTCTCCTTCCTCATCTCTCTGCTGAAGCTCCTCCTCCTCCTCCTCCTCCTCTGCTCCTCCTCCTCCTCCTCCTCCTACTCCTACCCCTCCTCGTCCCCCTCCTCCTCCACCTCCACCTCCTCCTTCGCGCTGGCTGTTGGGTCCTCAACACTCGGCCCCACGGAGGGCTCTCCTGCGGGAGCGTAGGCCTGCGGCGGGACATTGCGTTCCTCGGCCCCCGCACTCCGCACTCAACCTCCTCCTCCTCCTCCTCCTCCTCCTCCTCCTCCTCCTCTTCCTCTTCCTTTTCCTCTTCCTCCTCAACCTCCTCCTCCCCCTCCTCCTCCTTCTCTTCCTCCCCCTCCTCCTCCCTCCTCCTCCTCCTCCTCCTCCCCTCCACCCCTCCCCCTCTCCCTCCTCGTCCGCCTTCTCCTCCTCCTCGTCGTCCTCCTCCTCATCATCGTCATCATCATCATCATCATCATCATCATCATCATCCTCATCCTCATCCTCCTCATCATCATCATCATCATCATCATCATCATCATCATCATCATCATCATCATCATCCTCAACATCATCCTTAACCTCCTCCTCCTCCTCCACCACCCCCTCCTGTTCCTCCTCCCGCTGCTGCTCCTCCTCCTCCTCCTCCTCTTCTCCCCGTCCTCCTCCTCCTCATCCTCCTCCTACTCGGGCAGCTTAAGTCGGTCATGTCTTTCTACAGGAGGAATGTTCAATCATAGTAATAGAAAATGGTATGGGGACGATGATTTTACAATTTTTTTGCATCGTATTCCGGGTTACCAGTTTCTTATTTCTTCTCCTCCAAAATCCGCCTGTAGGGGGGACATGCCCGACCTAAGATTGCGCGCCAATGCCGGCGAACATGACCACGTTCTCGTCTCGTCGCTCATTCGGGTCATGGGAGAGATGGCGTTCTGCAGGGCGCGCGCGCGGGCAAGCGCGGGGTCTTGGGCGGTCCCGCAGTCATTCCTACTCCGCCGGCCCCGCTCGAGCCCCTTCGACACTTTCCGATTCGATGTGTCAGCCGATTTCTGCCGTTCTGGCCGATTAAGCGTCGCTCCGGAGGTATGGTTTAGGCCATGCTGCGTTCCACGGCTGGGGGGCCGAGGTGGACCAGCACTGGTGCTTGTCAGCAGAAAGAGCAGAGACAGGGAACCTTTCGTCGCCATGGTTGGGCGCGGCTCGGAAGACTTGTCCTTTTCGACCCTGAGACGGGTCTGGGGATTGAATTTGCCTTCATCTCCCCTTCTTGACTGTTTTTCGTTGGGCATGTCCAGCTCGGATCCCCCGGTCGCCTCCGAGCTGGACTGCACTTCGAGAGCAGAAGCGGCGCCCTGGATATGGGGGGTCGAGCGAGGGGCCTCGCTTGCGCTGCAAGATGAGCGCTGGCACGGTCAGGTGGAGCAGTGCTGGCATCTCCTCCTCGTCCTCCTTCCTCCGCCTTTCGCGTTCGCCTCTCGCCTCCTCCCTCCTCCCCCTCCTCCTCCTCCTACTCCTCCTCCTCCTCCTCAGCCTCTGGGCTGAGCGCAATAATCTGGTGAGAACTGCGATGGCCTGCGATGGTTCGTGCGCAGGTCGGTGGCCCCACGCGCACACCCACGACGCCGCCGCCGGTGGTGAGCTGGTACTGTTGGCGCCGCCGGCGGTGGTGAGCTGGTACTGTTTTGGTTCGATGGCATATTGGCTCATGAATGTCTGTTGGGATTGCCTTTGTTCGACATACTCTAGGTAGTATATTTGGCTACTTGAGTAAATGCTTGCGCTCCACAAACCGGGATACTATGCTTACATACAGTTGTATATACATCTATACATACAGATGCACACACACATATACACATACATATATATATATATACAAACATTTATTATATATGTATGTCTGCATAGATATACTGTTCACGTTCATCAATATGTACAACAGTTTTCATGGCGGAGCGCATGTGGGGATCGATTCGTTTCTTAGCCTGAGCGCGGTGTCCATATGGGCTGGACATTTCAGTCATTTCAGTCAGCGATGTCAATTGACATTATGAGCCACGACGCTGTTGTAGAGGAGCTTGTCTGCAGGATGAGGACTCTGGGCTCGCACAGTGATCAGGAGGAGAAATTGCAGACGAGGGATAAGCGCCACTCCAGGGGAGGCGTCCCTGGCGGCCAGTGAGGCCGACATTGTTAATTGCAGCGCGGTGTCAAGCACGGTTGCATGTCGGTTTGGCCGAAGTGCCAATCCACGGATGTGATGTTTTTTTTTTTGCGACGATGGCGTTTTTCACACGTCGCAACTTGTAGGACACTAATTCGCAAGCCTTCTGGCCTGCGCAGATCCCCCTCGTCGTCGCACGCTTGTCGTTCTCGTCGCTCGTCGTTTTCGTGGGTCTTCGGACGCGTTCGCGTTACAGGCATGTTCGAGTTCGGCAGGCGCCCGTGCAGTCTTTGATTGAGCGACGTCGAAGACTCGGTCGAATTCTCGGCATTGTCTAACTTACCTACAACCCGCTGGATTAAATAGTTGGGACGGCGGGGTTCGAGAGAGAGAGAGACGCTGTTGGCCACCCGTTAGGCCATGGGGCCCAGGACAATGTTGGATTTGATGTCGAATTGGGAGTTTCAGACGCATACCTCACCCCCTTTTAATATTATAAAGGCCAAATGGGGCCGGCGTCTGAAAGTGGCATTCCGCCTAGGACTTCCTCAAAAAAATATCAGATCGCCTTCCAGGGCGATCTGAAATTCTCCCATGCCGTCTGAAAGTGGCGATTTCGCCTAGGACTTCCTCACAACAAGTTTCAGATCGATGTTCATGCCGCCTGAGAGTGGTCGTTTCGCTGAAGACATCCTCAAACAGCACTTTCAGGTTGCCTTCCATGCCGCCAGAAGACAAAGATTTCGTGTGCGATGATTTCCATAACTTTGTGCTGCAGAGCTCCACGCCCTGCGGAGCCGTTCCGTCATTCGGTTCACGGGCCTGCCTTGGAGTCGTCTCGGGGTTCATCGATGGTGGAGGCTCGAGGGCCAGTCGACCGGCGAAACCCGCGGGGATCGCTCTCTCGCATAGTGCCGGTCACAACTTTTTAATCCAGAGGGTGGTATACGACCACCCTGCGGGCGATAAGGAGGTTGGGGGTGAGGGGGGCCAGCAATGGGCAACAGTGGTGATTGTTGCGTTGCCGCTCGCTCTTGGGAGCCTTGGTGTCGAGTTGTTTACGTCATCCTTCGCTCTTGGGCGCCTTGGTATCATTCTCCCCCCCGGGAACCAACGAAATAATAATTCATTTAGCTCATTTTGCAAGGGCTTGGGGGGCCGTTTGCGCGCGTCTTTTGGACCTCTTGGGGGGTCTTGGAGGCCTCTTGAGGCTCTTTGGGGCCTCTTGGGTGTCTCTTGGGAGCCTTTCGGGGTTGGCGCACGCTTGCTGCTTTTCTGGCACCGCGCGGTCGAGCATCGGATCTCACTCTGGATCTCGCTATCGATCCCACTCACGATCTCCCTATCGATATCACTCGATCTCACAATCGATATCACTATTCATCTCACTATCGATCTCACTATCGATCTCACGATCGATCTCACTATCGGTCTCACTATCGATCTCACTATCGAGCTCACAATCGATTTCGTCATCGGTCTCACTATCGTTTTCGCACCAGCGGGACACCGGGACACCAGCGGGACACCGGCGGGACACCGGCGGGACACCGCGCGCCACCGCTTGCCGGAGGGAGAATCAGTTGGTCCGGCCGGGGCCCAGCCACAAGCGGGACACCAGCGGGACACCGGCGGGACACCGGCGGGACACCGCGCGCCACCGTTTGCCGGAGTGAGAATCATTTGGTCTGGCCGCGCCTCAGCCACAGGAGACTTTCCTCTCGCCCGCCCACGCAGCCTCGCCTCGCCCGCACGCACGGCACGCACGAACACGAAACCGAAACCGATTTCCCGGTGGGGGGGCTCTCCGTTCCACTTCGATCTCACCCCCCAACCTCCGATTCACCAGCCCACCAGCCTAGAGTGGGATAGATCCTGCGGAACCCGAAGTCACAGGCATCTATGATCCCGGGTCGAGGGCCCACGGGCCCCCCCCCAAGATAGGATGGGTCTCAGGACTCCACGAGCCCCCCGCCAGGTGGGATGGAGGCTGGGGACGACGACGAGGACGACGACGGCGACTACGACGACGACGACGACGACGGCGGCGACGACGACGACGAGGACGACGCCAGCGACGACGACGACGACGGCGAGGACGACGAGGACCACGACGACGAGGGCGACGACGGCGACGGCGACGGCAACGGCGACGACGACGACGACAACGGCGAGGACGACGACGATGGCGGCGGCGGCGGCGCCGACCTCCGGAGCCCTCCGACGACGACGACGACAACGGCGACGACGACGATGGCGCCGGCGACGACGACGACGACGACGGCGACGACGACGACGACGACGACGACGACGACGACGGCGGCGACGACTACGACGGCGACGACGACGACGACGGCGGCGGCGGCGGCGGCGCCGACCTCCGGAGCCCTCCGACGATGACGGCGGCGACGACGACGACCTCCGAAGCTCTCCTGGAGCATCACAGTACGACGCCACGCGCCGCACACACCCACAGCACCACGGCCATGTTCAACGATGCTCAACTTCGCGAACACTGGCGCGCACGCCGTCCGCACAGGGTCGCCGCGCGTGAGCGCAACGGCTTCTCCACGGTGTGTGCGTGTGTGCCGCATCGGCGGCCCGCGTAGGTCACCGCGCACGGCGGTTATGCCCCATCGCATGCGACATTTTTTTGTAACCAGCTGCCTGCGGCAAGTCCCGCCGCCGTGGCAGCTCAGCATTCCGGGTGGCGACTGTTCGAGGGGGCTCGGGAACCGTCACGTGTGACACCTCGTGTCTCCAGGCTTGGGAGAGCCGTGCTGAGGATTCTGAGGGTGATGGGGATGAGGACGATGATGACGGCGGTGGTGGTGATGATGGCGGTGATGCTGATGGTCATGATGATGGTGATTGTGATAGTGTTTGTGATGGTGTTTGTGATGGTGATGATGATGCTGGTGACGATGATGATGACGATGATGGTAATGAAGATTATTATTATTATTATTATGATTATTATGATGGTGATGATGATGGCGACGGTTACATTGGTGGTGTTACTAATGAGAATGATGTGGATGATGATGATGAGGATGGTGACGATGATGATGATGATGATGATGATGATGATGTTGATGGTGTTGCTGATGATGATGCTGATGATGATGATGATTGCGATGATAATGATTTTTGTCACGATGACGATGATATTGCTGATGCTGACGCTGATGCTGACGCTGATGATGACGCTGATGCTGATGCTGATGATGATGCTGATGCTGATGCTGATGCTGATGATGATGATGATGATGATGATGATGATGATGATGATGATGATGAAGATGATGCTGATGCTGATGATGATGATGATGATGATGATGATGATGATGATGATGATGATGATGATGATGATGTGTGCCATCCCTTCAACAACACAGCTGCAATTGATATTATTCCACAAGTGTGTATTTCGCACGTCTGTTCTCGTGTGACCACCCCCGCAGGCCGGACGCACTCATGTTGATGAGGTGTCTCTTGCCCGGGGACGCGTGCGCCTGTGAAGGGCTGCGCACTTCGTGAAGAACGGAGCTCGCGCGTGCCAACATCCGACACGGCCCCGTGATTCAATGCCACTGTCGGGCCAGGATGATGCATGAGCAGCCATTCCCCCCGCGTGCTTCACAAAGGGCGCTTTCTCGCGGTGCTGCCCGGCATGCGCTTTGCATGCTGCGGCCCCCTCGCGGCGCGCACGAAGCACCTTGTCAGACACCTCTGCGCTGCAGCGGCGCTGCGCTCGTCTGGCGCCTTCTGCGTCCACCTGCAGCCAAGCCGATCCGTGGGCCCAGGGGTGTGCGCCACCCAACCCCTGCGTTGGGCTCACCGCGGTCCAAGACAAGCAGCAGTGGGCTCAGGGAGACGGCTGATCACCTGCATGTTGTCAGTCTGTGATAACAAAGCTGCAGCGTATGGTCTCTCTGAGGTGTATGTCGCACGTTTGTTCTCGTGTGACCACCCCCGCAGGCCGGACGCACTCATGGTGATGGGGTGTCTCTTGCCCGGGGACGCGTGCGCCTGAAGGGCTGCGCACTTCGTGAAAAACGGAGCTCGCGCATGCCAACATCCTCCTCGGCCTCGAGATTCAATGCCACTGTCGGGCCAGGATGGTGCATGAACACCCACGGATGATGAGGGTGATGGTGATGACGATCACGATGATGATTACGATACATGTTGTGGTGATGTTGGTGTTGCTGTTGACGGCGATTATGGTGATGATGATGATGATCGTGATGATGTTTACGATGATGGCGGTAATGATTATGATGATGATGATCATGATGATGATGATGATCATAATGATGATGATTTTTGTTGTCGTTGGTGATGATGGTCATCATCATAATGATGATGACGACGGCGACGGTGGTGATGGTGATGATCAGGGTGTTGATGATGGTGATGGTGATGATGGTGATGATGATGATGATGATGGTGATGCTGATGATGATGGTGATGGTGACGAGACGATGATGATGGTGGCGATGGCGATGATATGATGATAGTGATGCTGTTGTTGATGATGATGATGATGATGATGATGATGATGATGAAACTCGTTTGTGTAG